GATATATATATATATATATATATATATATATATATATATATATATATATATATATATATATATAGAATTTGGTTCCGGTGAGAAAGAGATCTAGTGAAAGAAAAAAGAATGAATCACCACCGTTAGATCTGATTCTCACTTTGCTGACTTGCGCTAAGTCCTCATGGGCTTTTTGGGGTTTACACATCTCGACCATGGCTTTGTTTGGTAACAGCGTTTTCGATTAGCGTTAGCGTTTTGGATAAAATTTTAACGATGCAGATTAATTCTGAAAACGCTAACGCTAAAGGCTACCGTCGGATAGCTTTTTCAAAACGCCAACGCTAATCTCTGACGCTGATGTCAAACGAGGCCCATATCTCACTGTATTTTCTCTCCCATCTATTTCCGAAAAAACCTCTTGCTATATCATTCAATGAGTCCCATTTCCACGCCTCTAGCTAAAATAATTTCCAAGAGGATAAAGATCTCCTCTGCAACTCATTCGGTTCTGATTTCTCACCAAAACTCCAGAAGTCATTTATCGCCGCCCACCGCATCGCCTAAATCTGTAGTTTCCTTTCTCTATTCCTCTTTTTCAATTTGAATTTTTAGGGTTATTTTAACATTTCAACTATTGGCCGTAACTTGGTTAATTAAATTGTATGTTGATATTGTTCATAAGTATCATTTTCAACAATATACTCCCTCCGTCCCCTGAAACATGAGACTTTTGCTTTTTAGGAGGGATCTAAGGAGAGTGTATTTTGGTATTGAATTTCCAAAAATATCTTTTGATGTGATGGGTAAAAGTATGATTTGATGGATAGATTATTAGTAAAAAGGTATGATGTGATAATTAGGGTATGAAAAAGTAAGGGGTAAAAGTGACTTTTTAATAGAAATGAGAAGTGTTTTGTGGGACGGATAAAAAAATAAAAGAGAAAGGTTTCATGGGACGGATGGAGTATTATGTTTTATTTTCATGATCCACCCTCTTTTTAAACACCAATTTGATTTTATATCTCTCTAAGCACCGTTGCATATGTCATCTTTCCTTTATGATATTTTTTTCCATTTCATATTCAAATTAAAATTCCAATATTTATCTAGTGCATTTAATTTTTTTACTATGTAAAACTGTATTTATGTAGATGTACGCATCACTTTTTCCCAAATCCATTATTTTTTTTGTTTGTGGACTTACTTGCATGATGGATCTTTATTAAAGTTCATCCAAATCGTTTAATTGGATGCATCTTTAAAATTCAATTGTTTATCTCTTTTTTGGGTACACTATTGTTTATATATCTAATGCATCACTTTATATAAAAAGATGTGGGCATTTGATCTGATTTAATTTTTGTCCTGTTTCGTTTGTGCTTTTTGTTTGAGAACTTGCATGATGTATCTTATTTTCTTTTATGATGCAATTTGTTTTCTCATGTACTCGTATCTATTCAAGAGCGCAACTTATTGATATTTTGCTAATTCCTCTATTTTTTGTGTACATTGCTACTTTTATTTTCTTTCTTATTTTTTACTTTTGGTTTATTTTTTTCTGACTTTGGTTGGAAATCTCAGACTTGACATTGACAATTTTCTTATTTTATTTTTTCTTCTTCTTTAACTTTTTGCTACTTTTTTCTATTATTGTGCATTATTAGAATCAAGGAAATGCATTAAAATGAAAAACAATGCATCCTCAGAAACAACGTAAATGATACTTCATTTTTTTATATAATGACTATTCATTTTGTTATTGTGCATTCTTAGAATCAAAATTGATGCATCTGAGGTGAAATTCTTCTTACACAAATTTAATGCATTTGTGTATTTTAGATAATGAATTTTCTTGCAAAAGGTGATGCATTTTAAAGATTTTGTCTATTCATTTTATTATAGTGCATTCTCATAATAAAGTTGATGCATCTTAGGTGAGATTCTTCTTACACAAATTTGATGCATTTGTGTATTTTAGAAGGATTATGCTATGTGTACCCCAAGATTTGTACCCCAATTTGTACCCCGCAGTTTTGTACCAACATTTTGTGTTGGTGTAAAACTAATTTTTGTTAATCGCACCAACATTTGTGTCCGTGTGAATTTTTATTAACGCACCAACACCTGTGTCACTGTAAACTATCGAAATGTTTGTGCAAACCTATGGTGTACAAATGGGGTATATTTGTTGGTATAAGTGTAGCATGGTCCATTTTAGAAAGTGACTTTTTGTAAACGGTGATGCATATTAAATGTTTTTTGATACTTTTCAATATGGTTTATATAGAAAAATATTGAGTGATGCATATTTTAAGATGTTAAAATGTGTATTTGAGAGGTACAAGTGCAAGATATGATTCTTTTAGAGAAAAAATGATTGCCTATTAGCTCAAATGGTAAAACGATATATACTACAGATGTGAGTTCAAATCCCACATAGGCAAATTATTTGTTAAATCTGCATTACACTTTCTCTGAATACAAATTAATAGAATAAAACTTAAATCTCAAATAACAATGGATTTTTTGATTATTATTGTGCATTCAAATTAGATGGGTGTTGCCATTGAATGCACCAAAGCAAATAAGGAAAAGTTTGATTCATTACTGATATGATAGATAAACTTCTTCATTAAATCATGTCAATGCTAACGTCATCCACATGTAAAGTGGTAGGGTTAGAAGGAAAGTTTGATTAGCTACGGATTCCTTTGAATTTTTCCAATGCCTAATTTAACCCTAAATGCTATTACTCCCTAAATTAGTGGATTGTCACGATTCCGTTCTTTATTAAAATTGGATTGGTCAGCAACATTTATATTTAATCTAAGCCACACAATACATCTGGTTAGGATTTATTCTCATTTCTTTCACCAAGGACCATTGTTACTAGAACCCACCCCTATATATACACTAGTATTCTAACCCGTGCCATGCACGGGGTCGAACGCAATTTATGTCGATTCTGAATTATTTCAATGAAATTTATTTTTTGGTATGGTTAAAATTTATTGTGCAAATTAATTTTAATAATACAGATGAAATAATCCAAAGTAAAATAAATAATATTTACAGAACAGAATGTAGAGTTAACAATGTTTATTTTAATACCAAATTTTCTGAAAGACTTCAAGGTATAGAACATTTTTGGTATGGTTGTAAGGGTTTCCATTGTTATCTAGAACCAATATCTTTAATCATGTCTTTGTCTTCACTCGTGAAACAACAACATATAGCTGATCATGTGTGAACACCGACTTGGTTAAAAATAACCCCACAAATGACAATGTTTAACCTTGACTTTTGGTGATAGTCATAGCAAAATATAAGGCGATGAGGAATTGTCTTCTTTGGAACTTCAAGGGTAGGCTTGGATCATATGGTATCAAATTCATTCTAGGGATGTAAACTTTTTCCATGACTCGATTTCTCGAAACCACAATTGCACCGATAACATTATTTCGCAGCTCTTGAACGATTAATCTTGTCCCATTACACAATCCAGATGTTTGGTCAATGTTCCTCAATAGCATAATTAGTACCCCTTTTTTCAAGACTATTTTGTGGTTTGAGATTCTAGAACATTTGATTTCATTCAAAAACTCAACTGCTATCCAATCTCCATCAACACCTATATCTGCATCTGGTTGGCACGAAGAATCAGAACTTAAGTATTCCTTTTCATCACCAGGAATGAGGGACATGACAAATTCATTTATCATTTCAACTCCTTCGAGAGTTGGTGCCAATAGTGCTCTATCCTCAAAAAAAGAATAATTTTTCATATTCTCTAATATATTCAGATAAGTGAAGTCCACTATACTCTTCATAGGAGAACTGGTATCAAGAATTAAGAATTCAGGCGGAATCTCAACATCACCAACCCCGTTCATCTCCTTAATGTTTTTACATTAAAACATGTTTCAAATAAAACATTGGTTAAAGAAAGATCGGTTCAATATATGGACATAAAAATTGGTTGAAAAAAAAACATGAAATATATAAAAACTTGGAACAGAGGCTAAACTTTTATAAACATTTAATATATGATATACTCCCTCCGTCCCATAAAGTGTTACCCATTTTGACTAAAGTTGAAATTAAGGGATGGATAATTTTGTGTTGACTTTTAAAAAATACCCTTGATGTGATGGGTAAAAAGTAGGATGTGATGTGTAGATTATTAGGAAAAAGGTATGATGTGATAGGTAGGGTTTGAAAAAATAAGGGGTAAAAGTGGTTTTTTAATAGAAATGGATAAGGGATTGTGGGACACAATTTTTTTGAAATGTGTAAATCTTTTTGGGACGGAGGGAGTATATACTTACGTGTTCGTCGAGGAACACCATCTCTATTGAGTTTGTTGCCTTGTTATCGTTGAACGCAGGCAACGTATACAACCGTATCACACGAACACAAATCCTCCAACACTCACTTTTTGGATTGATTTTTGATAAAGGGTGAATGGGCTTGAAAGACATGACGATTCAGCAAACAAAAACAATCCGTTTGTAGTTTTCTTTCCAAGGCAAAAATTTTGAATCGAGAAGAACAGAATTGAAATGAATGTATTCACTAGTACAAAAATGACTTTTTAAATCGGTTATTTGGACCCTTTTAAATCGGTTTCCAACCGATGCAAAAGATGGCGATGCAAATACTCCGATACGTTTTGCATCGGTTGCTAAAACCGATGCAAAAACCCTTTAAAAAAATTACCGCCAGTTCTGAAAGTTGGCTTTTTGCATCGGTTATTACTAAATAACCGATTCAAATGCCCCTACCCAGAAATGGCGCCATATTTGGGTAGGGGCTTTTGAATCGGTTATTTGTTATAACCGATTCAATAGCTAATCTTTTGAATCGGTTATTACAAATAACCGATTCAAATGCTCCTACCCAAATATGGCGCCATTTCTGGGTAGGGGCATTTGAATCGGTTATT